TTGGTGCTACTCTTTGATACGGATTCCTTGCACTTTTAGCGGTTCCCCATATATGGATCCTTTACTAGAAACCAAGTTGTTCAATTCTCAATTTTTTTGAGTAGAATGAGGCTTTCTCTTGGTGCAATCCTCACAACCATATTAAAGACCATGTTTCAGTGCAGTTATTGCCAAATAGAATTGACGAGACCAGGAAGGTATTCTTTCCTAAGGGGAAAAGTTTAGTGATTTAAACTCCAATGAAACCAAACAAACAACTCTCCTCAAGTAGCAAGTCCAGCAACTCATGCTTTGCAATAGAAGGAGCACTGATTTCTTTCTTTTTCTTAATAGAAGGAGACACTGATTCATTGAAGGCTTCATGGTACTCCCATTAGGATACCCAGGGAAAAAATGAGGACCAAACACTTGCCAGGAGCTCTGTAGATTCAGTAAAAAGACCAAATAAAAACAACCTTTTAATCTTTGTTGATTTTTTTTTTGAGATGGTAACAGATCCAATATATTAATAAATCATCAGCACAAATTTTGTACTGGAACCAAGATTACATCAAGAAGAGCTAGGACAAAAACAAAAATTAAACTTCCTTGTTCTTCTTACAAGGAGCCTAAGACTTCTATGATTGAATCCTGGTCATCTATATATTCTGCTTTACACCAAAAACTAAAAAGAAGAATGCAATTCATTTTGATCTTCTTTACAGGGCTACTTATATCTTCAAAACACCTTGTATTCCTCTCCTTCCAAATTGTCCACCAAATGGCTGCTGGGACAATTTTCCATCTATCTTTGTTTGATGTAGAGCTCCCCCCGTGTTCCAGCTAGACAAAAGTTCATAGGCTCTTCCTGGCATTGTCCATCGAATGCCCCTGATGTTAATGAACAACCCCCACAGTTGTCTTGTCACTCTACAATATAGAAACAAATGGCTAATTGTATCTGCATCTTGGCCACACAAATAACATCTAGAATAGATTGATATACCTCTTTTCATGAGGTTTTCTTGAGTGAGTACTGCTTCTTTAGCCACCAACCAAGTAAAGCATGCCACTTTATATGGTATTTTGACTTTCCAGATATGCTTCCAAGGCCATAGGCTGAGTTGAGGTCCTAGCCGATTTAGATTTTTATAAGCTGATCCTACTGTAAACCTCGCGCTGCTATGTTTCTGCCATACTAGAGTGTCTTCCCCTTCTTGTAATCCTCTCATTGTTCCAAAGTATTATAATATTCAGTTATTGTAGTTAGTTCCCAGTCTTGTAACAATCTTTGGAATGTCAAGTTCCATCCTCCAGTACCCCATAACTCCTTAATTGTTGCCCCTTGTTGCTGTCAGAGTAAAAATATCAGGGAACAAATTCTTGTCCAATTCCTAGCCAGTTGTCCTCCCAAAATAACGTTTTCCTTCCATCCCTCATATTAAGACTTAAGTCATGAAAAAGGTTTGGCCACAAGTTCCGGATTGATCTCCATAGACTAATTGCATAAGGGTTCTTCACCTCTTTGGTCATCCAAAACCCTTCTTTTCCATATTTTGCCTTTATCACCTTACCCCATAGTGTTTGTTCTTCCTTAGGAAACCTCCATAACCACTTCATCAATAGACATTTGTTCTGCTTCCTAAGGTTTTTGATTCCTGAAATCCTTTTTTTTCTTTATTTCCATGCCATAAAAAGTTCCTTTTCAGAGCCTCCAATCTATTTTCTATACTTGCAGGTAGAGGAAATAAAGACATCATGTAGGTAGGGAGAGCATCTAGCACAGAGTTAATAAGTACTAGTCTACCTCCCAAAGAGATATATTGTGTTTTCCATCTAGCTAGCTTTTTCTCACATCTTTCCAAAACTCTATTCCAAATTTCTTTGGATTTGCTTTTTGCTCCCAAAGGCATTCCCAGATAGATAGTTGGAATTGTCCCAGTTTCTCCTCCCAAAATGTTTGTCAGCATCTGAATACTAGGCACCTCATTAACTGGGAAAATCTGACCTTTTCTCCAGTTAATTTGAAGATCAGAGATAGCTTCAAAGAGGATGAGGATAATCCTGAGGTACTTTACTTGACTCTCTTCTGTTCCATAAAAATACGGGTATCATCTGCATATTGTAAGTGAGTTATTTCTAACCTCTCATGTTGATTATTTGCAACATTGAATCCCTTGCTCCACCCATTACTGTTAGCAGTCTTCAACATATTGTTCAAACCTTCCATAGCTAGTATGAAAAGGAAAGGTGAAAGGGGGTCACCTTGTCTCAAGCCCCTTTGAGAAGGGAAAAACCCTACTGGAGATCCATTAATCAAAATAGTGAACCTAACAGTACTAATACAGAATTTCATCCAGCTAATCCACTTCCTTCCAAACCCCATCTTGTGGAGAATTCCCAGGAGGAAATTCCAAATGACATGATCATACGCTTTCTCGATATCTAGCTTGCACATTATTCCTGGCTCCTTCTCCTTAATCCTAGAGTGTATACATTCATTAACAATCAATACAGCATCTGTGATTTGTCTCCCTTTAATGAAAGCCATCTGGTGTGAGTCAACTAGTTTGTGCATCACTTTCTTACGTCTTTCAGTGAGAATTTTGGAAATCAACCTGTATATGCTTCCTATTAAGCTGATAGGCCTGAAATCTCTTAGCTCCTTTGCTCCATTCTTTTTAGGAATCAGAGTCGCATAGGTTGCATTAAAGCTTTTCTCAAACATCTCCTGAGAATGGAAGTTCTGAATAGTTTCCATGATGTCTGTCTTCACCAGTACCCATCATCTGGTCCCGGGGCTTTGTCTATTGCACACAATTTCAAACAGTGTAAGACCTCTTCTTCTTCAAAATGATTATGCAAAGCTTGTTGTTCTTCTTCTGAGATTGTAGGGCAATTGGTCATGCTGCAGGTAGGTCTCCAACCCTCAGTCTCTGAATACAACTTAAGATAAAAGTCAGTAATCTCTTTTTTAATAGCTTCAGGCTTTTCAATGATCTGCCCTTCCACTATCAGGTTGTCAATACTCAATAGTATTGTTGATATCTATTATCAGTTTATTAAAAGCCTTTGCTTTGCTTAAATTGATGAAATGTTGTGTAGCTAGGGTTATCACGTCATGGGTGAAACCACGCGCTTCAAATGGTGATGTGCAAAGTGATCCAAACGAGAATCAGTTGGTTCTTTGAATCTCAACTTTGAGGAGCTGGATTAACATCTGACATTATTATATATTGGACGTTTTTGAAATTAGAGTTTTTGTTCCAATACTAAACTCATATATGTTTGGTCTTTTTCCCCTTAAATTCTTTGTAAATTGTCCACTTCACTTAAAGTAAGTGTGCACTTCATTTCTCGCTTTTTGCTTTATGCTCCCTGGACTTCATCCCTCTCTTTCCCTTTTATCTCCCATCGCTTCACCTCCACAAA